CAGCCGGGAGGCCCCAGAGCGCAGCCTAGTTCAAGTCCCGGGTGAGGATTCACCTCGAACTCGGAGCTGTCGGACTCGGAGGTTGCAGAGTTCCCGAGGAGAAGAGACTGTCTTGTCGCCCGTTCACTACTGGCCTCCAGACCGAGTTGGAGCCCCTCACCCTTCCTGCTCAGCGCAGTTGTCATAATTTTCCTGGGGCCAGACGCCGATCCCAGATAGACAGCGTGTTTACCCTCGACTCCCCCTGTTCCTCAGACTCCCCGGAGGGAAGCCCCGCGGCTCGATAATCGGACACATTTCCTCCCTACCCCTAAGATGGACTCAGACGCTTATAGCTTCCTGGGTTTGTAACTAGGTGCGACCTGTTGATAGATAGCTGGTGTAGACTAGGGGATCAGGATTTGCGGGGACAGCGAGGCTCTGAGCTGCCTTCTCCCCTTCCAGGGATGGGGGAAGCAGCCATGCCTACCTGGGAGTCTGGCTCTCCGTCCCCAGACCGCTTTGCGGTGTCTGCGGAGGCAGAGGGCAAGGTGCGGGAACTGCAGCCCCATGTCCAGCGCATCTTCGGGGTGGGGATGAGCATCCTCCCCAAGGACTGTCCGGAGAACCCCCACATCTGGCTGCAGCTGGAGGGCCCCAAGGAGAACGCCAGCAGAGCCAAGGTGAACTCCTCCTCTCCCCCGATTCTTCCAGGGACCATGGACTCCTTCCCGGGTGGCAGAGGAGAGGAGGGGGTTGGGGAATGTCTCTCCTTGGTTGTCTTGCTGGCAACCTCAGCGGCCCTGAGCTCTGAGGAACCTTCCAACTCTATTGGTCTGGAATTTCAGTTTTATTTTTACTGTGATGGCCCGGATTCTGCCAGGACTTGGGGACAAATCATTTTGTGCTCTTTGAGAGAGTAGAGCTAATGGGACTGAGCAAGTAGGCCCCAACATGTAATTCACTGTGGGGTGGGAGGGTGGGACACATTGCTTCCTTTGGAGTCAGGCTGCGGTTCCAGTATGGCTTCACCACCCGTCTGCTTTGTGATTGGCGTCTCAGTTTACTTATTTGTAAAATGAGAATAATAGTACCATCCACACAGATACTCCAGGCATCCTGGAGCTGAGGGGTGAGCAATGAGCCTGAAGGGGTAGCTGGGCCACTGAGGATTCCAGCAGTTTACTTTTCTAACCTTCCCCCTGCCAGGAGTACCTGAAGGGTCTCTGCAGCCCGGAACTGCAGGATGAAATCCACTACCCGCCCAAACTGCACTGCATCTTCCTGGGAGCCCAGGGCTTCTTCCTTGACTGCCTGACCTGGAGCACATCTGCCCACCTGGTGCCTGGGGCGCCTGGCTCACTGATGATCAGTGGTCTGGCTGAGGCCTTTGTCATGGCTCGGAGCCGACTGGAAGAGCTGGTGGAGCGGCTGAGCTGGGACTTTCTGCCAGGGCTGTCCCCTGGAGACTCTCAGTGTGCTGGAGTGCTGAGAAACTTCTTTGCCCTGTTGCAGTCCCGGGAGGATGCTCACAGACAGGCCCTGCTGCAGCTGCCCCTGGCTGTCCAGGAGGAGCTGCTAAGTTTGGTGCAGGAGGCATCTGGTGGCCAGGGGCCGCAAGCACTCCCCTCTTGGGAAGGGAGGAGCCCAGGCTTTCTGAGTTCTCAGTGCCTGGGAGTCAGAGCTCCCTCTAGTGATGCCAGGGAGTCCCTAGACGCTGGATCTATGGGGCTAGGAGAGTCAAAGGGAGCAAGGGGAGAGAGTTATGCTGTGGAGAAGGAGGGTGGGAAAGAGAGCCGTCCCGGGGAGATGGATTTGGGGTGGAAGGAGCTACCTGGGGAAGAGGCCTGGGAAAGAGAAGGGGCCTTCAGGCCACAGTCAGGGGGTGGAGGGGTGAGGGAGGCGGGGCCCCTGAAAGGGAAGGCCCTGGGAAAGGAGGGGGTGCCTCAGGAAAGAGGAGGGATCTGTGTCCAGGATGAGCCTCCTGGTGTCCGTGGCTCATGTCAGAGGGCAGCTCAGGCCCGGGGAGCCACTCTCCTCCAGCGGCTCCACAACGGGAATGCCTCGCCTCCAAGAGTGCCCAGCCCTCCACCTGCGCCTGAACCCCCATGGCATTGTGGAGACCGGAGTGACAGGGGAGACGGGGGAGACAAGCAGCAGGCCATGGCTCGAAGTCGGGGGTCTCCCTGGAAACGAGGAACCCGGGGAGGCAACTTGGTGACTGGCACACAGCGTTTCAAGGAGGCCCTACAGGATCCCTTTACCCTGTGCCTTGCCAACGTACCTGGCCAGCCAGACCTCCGCCATATTGTCATTGACGGCAGCAACGTGGCCATGGTGTGAGTACCTGGTGGGGCTAAGGGTCTTGGGAAGGAGAGATGAGACAGGCATCTCTGTCCACCTTGGGGACATATGCTGAGGGGCTGGCACTGCAGCCAGGCTCCCAGGCCCCTCCTCTGACCCCTTCCCACTGCAGGCATGGGCTTCAGCACTATTTCTCCAGCCGGGGCATTGCTATTGCTGTCCAGTACTTCTGGGACCGTGGCCACCGTGACATAACTGTCTTTGTGCCTCAGTGGCGCTTCAGTAAGGATTCCAGGGTCAGAGGTGAGTTGGGCCTGGCCTTCCTTTGTGTCGTGGGGTAGGCTCTTGTTTCCACCTTGAGGAGAATCCCTTTCTGTTCTTTTTCTATAGAGAGTCACTTCCTGCACAAGCTGTACTCCCTCAGCTTGCTCTCACTCACCCCCTCACGCGTCATGGATGGCAAGAGGATCTCTTCCTATGATGACAGGTACTTGCTCCTCTCCTGGTCCCAGGCTTGATATCCAAGGAGCCCAGTGGGAGACTGAGGGAGAGAGAGAAACTCCTGATGGTTTATGCTGTCTGTAAGTCTCGGTAGTGGGAATGGGGCCAGTTATTCCTTTATGTGCCCTTTGGACTGGGCATGTAAAGTTGTCCTGGGGGTGAGAGGAGGTGAACTATAGACAACTGTGTTTGTACACTTGTCATTCATTCTTCCTTCGTCAAACTACATGATACTCGTCTTTATATAGTGCCTTAGTGTTTAGAAAATACCAGTTTAATGGAAAGATGGGAAAGCTGGTGACATGAATAGATGCCTTCTTATAACCTGAATTCCTAAACATGTGGGGAAATTTCCCCAACATTCTGGAAAAACCAGAATAACATTCAAAATAACAAGTAAAATGAAGAAACACAATCCATGAATAATAGGAGTGTACAAAAAAACAAACATGATATAGTAGATCGCTGGATTTAGAATGGAAAGATTTGAATTTGAGCCCAAGTTGCACATACTCATTGGCTTTGACTGTGGACCCATCTCTTAGTGAATTAGCCTCTTTGTCTCAGGGTCCTCCTCCATTTATTCACCCTCCTTATGACTATCTAAAGAAGAGAAGTATGTGCTTGCCATGCTCAAGGTGCTAGGCAAGAGTACAGTAACATTTCCTCTTAACTTTGCATGGGGCCTATCAAGTGTGGCAGTGCTTATTATCTTCATTCTACAGATGTGGAGACAGAGGGTCAGAGTGGTTACCTTTTTAGCAAAGGGAAATTAGATCTCAAAACTGTCAGATGGTTTAGATGAAAAACACAGGATACATTTCTGCCACAGTATACATACGTGGTGTGAGAAATGGGCAGATTTTATAAAGCTAATTAACCAACTAAAAATTTTTACAAGTTCTTTATTCTTTCAGTCATTTTTCAGTTTTTAAAAATGAGTTTCCAAACCGCAGTGATCATATACTTTGTCTTTTCAAATACTTATCTTTTACTCCTTAACAAGTAAGTGATATTCTACAAAAAGGCAGTTTGCTTTCTCCCGATGCTATTCTATTTATGTCTGGGTTTCACAGATTATCCATGATATGGATGTATCTTCTGTTTTAGTTCTTTCCACACCAACATTGAAACAGAATTGAAACTGAAGATTGAGTCAGTTTTAATGACTTTTAAAGGCACATCCCTGCGCACTTGTATAGGACCTGGTAGGCAGATAACATATCGATTGGGAATTTTGCCCAGTAGCAGTGAACAAGCACAGTGGTGCACAGCGCAGGCCCACTGGATGAACGCAGCTGAACAACATACAACATAACATGCCAGAAAGTATCTTTTGTATATTATACATTTATGTCATTCCCTAGTTTCTCAGACAGAAACTCAGAACCAGATATCTGTCATGCCTGATCCTGATTACTGGTCCCCGTCTTTCTTTCTTTTTTTTTTTGAGTTGGAGTCTCACTCTGTCGCCCAGGCTGGAGTGCAG